TTTAAGGAGACAAAACGTCTTTTCACCAAGGAGGCATGAGTCTTTAAATCCGCCCCCCCCCCACAAAAAAAAAAAGTAATAAATAAATAAGTAAGTAAATAAAAATCCACGACTAACCGTAACCTGTACTCTATGACTGTGTTTTCATGCCTAGATCGATCTATCTGGGTGTTCACGCTAAATTGCTATCAGCTGAGGAGACTTAAATGTCTGTCACGCCTACCGAATCAGCAAGGGAGGTAATTGACTTTCTTGCACGCTCGGCCTCGCCGATAGCAGATGGCAATTTAGTGAGACTACCCGTGGAGATAAATCGATCAAATATCTGTGGAAATTGTCCCTATCATACATGGGACCTAGGTATCCTATTCCTGTCACACCGGCATACACCGGGACGCGTAAAGCGGTCAACGACACAAGCTCCCTCTTACGTACAGTTTAAGTCTAGTTTTACTCGTACGTAGTTTAGGATTACTCGTACGTAGAGTGTACATGTAGGTTTAGTCTATTTAGAAAGCATAATATGCACTGCTATAGCCTTCCTCAAGAGACAATTAAAAACTAATTCCATTACATCTCACGCATCTCTCCAAGTTATTTTGAAATCTAAACAAAATATAGGTGTGCGTCATTTTGTCGTCTGCCTTACACGTACATTTCTGACAGTTAGGTGCAGTAGGTGCGACTAATGCAACACGTTTATGTGCAAACCAGCCAATGTAGAATGTTCTCTACAAACGTACACTCTGCCGTGGAAGATGAAGCAAATGCTGCAACGCAGGAAGACAAAATACAGAAAACTTAATAAAAAAAACACGATACCCAACCATGTCTAAGTAAATATGTATACATTAAAATAGTCGTAAAAGATAAACTGTAACGTTTGAGCATTTCAACTTTTGGTATAAAACGTCCATACATACTGTAGCCTATACACATGTAAGTCTATATTTTCAATAGCATACTTCCTGCTATGTCTAAATTAAATAGTATGTCTTCATTGTTGAAAATGTACCTTTTAGGAATTGCTATTCTATAGCACGTTTACCATGTGTGCTGAGGGTAGTGCTCTGCGCCTTATGGCGGTCTTTATCCAACTCAGAATCAAATATGACCCGAAGCAATATTGCTCTGGGATATCAACTGAGTCAATTTCGCTAAAATTAAAAAAGAAATAGCTTGGTTCGAATTACAATGTATGCGTGGGTTGCGGACCCCCAAAATACCAATGTATTCCTTAAAAATGCTCGTTAGAAAGAACTAACATTAACTTAAGTCTAAGAAGGTTGCCTAAATTCTACATAAAAATTATTCAAAAAGTACCAAAAAAATTACACAAATCCGAAAATAAAAAATGCAAGAGCTTTTCTGTACCTTAGCTAAAAATGAAGGAATGGTATATTAAAGAAACTGCAAGTGCTGGTAACGCCACGTGAAAAAAAAAATTAGTGCATTTATACAATATGAGGAAAAAATATGAAAAAAGGAAATATGAATCTGACATATCATATCTCGTGGTATTAGATTAGCACACCGCTTGTTAACAAGGAAAAAACATAACATATAATTTGGTTCTGTGACGTGTGTGTTTGTTGTACATGTACGATAGCGTCACAAGCTAGGACACAACTATAGCATTCAAAGTCAACAACATCAAAACTTGGATATTGTATCAGTATTAAAAATAACGACAGAGCACCCATCGTTAATGTACGCAAGTCTCTCATCGCATTATGTGTGTGTGCTGAATTCCTCTTTTTCGAGCATGCGCAATAAGTTACATGTAGCAGTCTTGAGAATGCAGCAGCATTTGTATTGGCATAACATCTGGAAACTCGTCGGCTCATAAAATAGACCAATCAGCAACCCTTTTTGCCACTCGTATATGCAAATGCGTCTTTCTGCCCCCCCCCCCCCTAAAAAAAATGAATTAAAATATAACTGCACCTTTAAATCCATACAGAGACGAAAGCATCCCATAAACCAAGTTGCATCCTGTTTGATGCGGTGGTTTTAACCAAAAATCCTTCGTGACGGTTGGTTATTTCCAATTCCTGCCATTGGCATTGTTATTATCATGTCATCTGGATTATGTAATCCTTTTTTATCATAACTATCATTTCAAAATTAAAACTCTCTTTCAGTTTGTGCAAACCTCCGGGTTGTTCCTTCTCGTTGGTCCTATCGCAATAAGTGAAAGTCAAGAATGAATGGATTGCGTTTGTTGAGCAAGCTCTTGGCAATTGATTGCGTTTGATAAGCAAGCTCTTGGCAATTGATTGCGTTGCTCACTGCGCTTGGACATCAGCAATACATGCACTTCATTTGTTAAGCTTCGACTCATGGTCACTCCTCTGTCCTTGGTCACACCTCGATCCTACGGCTGTCCAGTTGTGCGTCCGGTAGCAGCGACAGCACCCTCTTTCGGTGGACTTTCAAAAGCCTCGGTACGCATGCGTCTTTGTTTCATACGACCATGAATCTCATTTGAACAGCATGTGCCTGAGGTATGTTTGAAGTGAACCACAGTATAACGCATCGGTTAGTTAAGAGCCATATACGGTATGTGTATAAATGAGAGAGGATGGATTAGATGCGATGATCTCTTGGCGATGTGGTGGTCTTCCACAGTAGTGGCCCAACATAAAATGGTGACCCAAGTGTGTTTGCGGCGTTGAGATATTTTATCATTTTTATCGCACGCCAAATACTGCCCTTTTTGTTGGATACAATTCTGTTAGCAGTGGTGAATGTCATTATATGGACGCTCTTTTCCGGGAGAGGTATTGGTAGGGGAATTGTAAAGACACATCGTCGGAACAACTGTGGAGATCTTGGTCTCGGTTTGAGTTCATTGACGTCATCTGCACGTGGTGAGCGCCTTTGCCGCCGCCTGGCGAGCGGGACAAGAGTCTGTGCTTTTTTTCAGACGCTCTGGCTCGGAGGTTGTAACACGTGCATGAGCAGACCGAGGCAAGGTCACTATACTCGGGGTTTTCCTGGGGTTGTCCTTGGATGACATTCCCGTTGGGAACAATAATGTCTCCTTCCAGTCGAACGGCTCCTCTTGCCGCGACCGCCGCCTCCAACTCCTCCCGCCTCTCGTCCTCTGTGTTAAGAGTCAAAAATCGCAGCACTAAGAGATTCATGTTGGCGGACAATACCGCCAGACCGGAGAGTATAAATATCAAACTGAATGCAACATAGTCTGGGCGACTTTGCAACGCCTTGCTCTTCTGTAAGGCTACAAAGTCCCCAAACCCTATAGTCGTAAGCGTTATAAAACAGTAATAAAAGGAATCTAAATACGGCCAATCTTCGTATATGGAAAAAGCCGCCGCTCCCGACGTAAGGACTATTGTGCACATGTTCAGGCCGACCATGATCAAGTTCGTCTGGCTGACCTCAGTATTTTTCAATTTGAGGCATTTTTTGACGTGCTTGAGAATGAATGTGACGAAGGTATTGAGACGTTCACCGATACTCTGGAACATAACCAGGGTCATTGGGATGCCACAGAGAGCGTAGAACATACAGAAGATCTTGCCTCCGACGGTCTTCGGCGTGCTGTGGCCATAACCTAAAAATACACATTGAAAACCATTAGTTATAATGATATGTCTCCTTCTACATGTACTTTTATATATATACACGCCTGGGAATTAACAGCTCTTTTTGCCAGCAAAAGGTCTGCTCTGGGTAAAATGTGATCTATAGGTATACGAAGGTTTCATGGTAAAATATCCACTTTTCAGGAGAAGACTCCACCGCCTTTGGAATTGCTGGTTATGGGCCTGATATACACTCGAGCAAAAATTTTTGGAAACATTCTTATTTTGAATGGTTATAAAATAGCCATATAAGCCTAGGCAAATACTTAAAACAAATATTGATGGTTGATTCACACACCATTCGTTACTTTTTATACACACTGAAGAATTTCTCATTAAATTATGTAATATCTTAATTATGAAAAACATTTTCCGAAATTTTTGGTCAAGTGTACATCAGTTTTGACGCCACATACAAAACATTAGTATGGATATGTTGCAGCATAGAATATCAGTATGTATATGTACTAGTACCCAGTAGAAAGAAACAAAAATGTAGAAAAGATATAGCCTACTGTCGCCACCGGCATTATTTGTACGATAAACTTTGCAATACCACAAAAAAAAATCTCTCAGATAAAAAATATACATTATTTAAATAGGAACAAATTCAATTTAGGCATTTTCGAAGAGTAGAGGAGTAGTTTATGAAACTGGATGCGGAAAACATCAGTAAAATATGATGTCTCCTTCAGTAGTTTTCTAGCACAGGGCAATCACAACCTCCATTGCAAGAAGAGGGTAAAGATTAGAACGGTTGGTTCAGGTACATGCACTTTACACATTGTAAAACCGGTGCATTAGACCACTGCACGCATCCGCACTACAGTGCACCGTGTGGACCCCAACCCCTCCAAAAGAGAAAAAAAAAGAAGAAGAAGTAAGAAAAAGAGTAAGAAAAAGGCAAAATTCTGGTCCCGTCAGTGCTTTTTTATTCCCGCAAACACCGGGGATTAACAAACCCGCGCATGTACGTATAAACGTTGACAGGAATCATTACGATCTCCAACGGCGCACCAAAGGTCAAGTGGATTCTGTCAATTTATTTTCTGGCGGTTCTCTCTAGAGAATTGTTTTTCCAGGGAATTAAGTCTAATTGGTAGAAATAAGTCAGGTGTTCGGGATGCCCCGCGTGTTACACCTTAGGGAAGTGTGTACTGCATTGTGCTTCTGGGGTCCTACATGTAGCTGTTTTACAAAATAAATTTAGCCAGATAATTGCTTTTACTAAACTTTTACGCCGTTAATTTGGTCTAACTAAATTTAAAGACCGTAAATTTGGTCTAACTAAACTTGAAGACATTCACATTCGCTCAGAGAGATGTAGATACATCTCTTTGATTTTCTCCACTTCATTTTGCGATAATATCTTAGTGTTAAACTCATAATAAATATGTGGAACAAAAGTCACGCGTTCCTTGCTGTAAAATGGGTGTGATGCATTTCATTAAATTGTAGTAGTACACGTTTCTTTTGATTCAAACTAGCTTTCAGTTTAACGTCAAGTTTAGAGCAATTTTCAGCCTAAAGCTTCTTTGAGAATCCGACTACTTAATAACTTTACATCTGTGACTAAGTC